TGAGTGAAAAGTCGAAAGGGAAAAAAAGAAACCAACAGCTACATTGCCCTGCTAAACTGTTTTCCAGATACTTATTTATAGCAGGATTTCCAGTTTAGTTCTGTGCTTCACTTCAAACATCTGTGGGGAATTTTGTAGAAAAAAGATGTAAAAGCATTTTGTCTTTAGTAAGGAATACATTTTCTGACTAGTTTGAAGTAAATCTGCCACTTAGCTTGAGTTAAAGGTATTGGTAAATAAAAAACATCTCATTATCTTTGTTCTCAATGACCCTAATAGCAGAATAATGCAGGCATTTTAAGCCTTCCATGTAGTTAAATTCACTGAAATCTTACACATAAGCTATATGTGAAGCAATTAAGTTATAATTCAGCAAAGTTATTAAACGTTAAGTACTTCTGTTAGGCTTATGAAAGCTACAGTCCAATATGAGCCCAACATCTCAGATAATGGAGGTGGGGTCACTGTGCTATCAAAGGGAGCAATCAAGCGTGCTTCCCTCCGGTACCAGTACGCAAACAGCAATCCTCTCATTTTTAATGAGAGAGGGTAAGCCTTGGAGACAGCATCAAGATGGCAGTGGGCAGTTGATTTTGCCTGCCTATTGCTGTTCTAACAGCCAGGGGCTGCCATGATGACACAGATATCACTGCTTAAATACCTTCTTGGAGCGCTGTTGCCTGGGGTGTCTTTGTTCCTTGGTAAAGCAATATTCAGAAAAAAGTTCAGGTGTTTAGTGCAGCGTTTTTTGATACAAAGGAACAAAGGGTACGTCCCTTCTCTGTTTGTACTGAAGTGATTAAAGATTCAAGGATGAACTTATATTTTCCACTGAATCATGCACAAGAAGAGATTCAGTTCTGAGTCTCTCACATCCCAGATCAGTAGTCCCTTCAACTTTTTTTTTTTTTTTTTTGGCAAAAAATGCAGTAAATGGGTGGGTTTTTTGCTCATGTGTATAGCAAAGCTGGTTTTAGCAATTTAGAAAGTAATCATGAAATGGAAATGTCATCCTCTGGTCATCTCTGTAACAAAGAGAGGCAATTCAGAATTAAGATTGTGCTTAATGTAAAAACAAATATGATAAAGTAAAAAAGGAAGAGTTAAATAGCAGCACTACAGATAAGATTGTTAGAGTACACTTGTTAACAGCAACTTCTGACTTGTACTGCGGCATTTCATGCCACCTGGACCCCACATGCACTCTTTCTCAAAGGAACATATCTCGTCCATTGCATTTATCACAGTTTTTCACTGGCTTTCAACTACCTGACAATCCTCTTTCCAGAAGATGGGCAGTCTCTCCCTTTCTGTGGGGTTGCTGCTTGGCTCACATTTTTTGCTGTTGTTGACATGATCAAACAATAACACTTATTTCCATTACCTTGCTAGGGTATAAGTTGCACATCATGTAGCTGCATTTCCATTTTTTCCCTCTTTTGAATATTTCATCAGATTGAATCAGAATTCTTAGTAAAAGACATTTAATAGCAAGAAATTATGAACCGGTTTTATTAAACAAACCATATTTAAGAGTTATGATTTAAATCCAAACAATGTGATGAAAAGCTTTACAAGCACTCAGAAAACAACAGTCCTGAGGACCTCATAAAATAAACTTGTAGGTAGGTACCTAGGTGAGAAGCCAGTTCACACGTTACAAAACATTTGTAATCTAATAGAATCAGTGATATGCTATACATAACAATATGTTCAAAACAGAGGTTTTTGTGGGGCCTGGAGTATTTCCTCTTCCACAGTTGTTTGGTTACAGATACCAATCTCATCGTGATGCTGACTGCCAAAATAGCCTAAGGGCTATTAAATACTCTGAGATAGCCAAAGGAGAAAAAATATGGAAAGTATTTTACACACTGTTGACAAAAGACACCCAAACAGTCATAAGAAAAGACATCAAAGTTGCTGAGAAGTTTCTATTCAAAGAAAGTAAGTAAACAAAGAAATAATAGCACTTACAAAAAGGTAAGAATCATCTTGTATTAATGAGGCCTACCGTTATTGCAATAGATAAAATGGGACATAGAGAAGTAGAACAGTTTCTTTTGTATAGCAAATCAACAACATTATGTGATTTTTCAATTTTCTCCCTACTTTTACCATAAGAGATTTTTCCTCTTTAAGAAAAACTGTAAGTAACATTACAGGTAAGATGTCCTGAAAGAATATGTGTGACATTAGCCCATGTACAGATTAATTTTACATAGAAATATGTAGTTTGGAAAGGAACAGAATTGCACTTTCATTCAGTTTTAACTATAATTAAGATACATGTATTTATTCTTCATTTATTAGCTTTGGTGGAAGATGGTTTTTAATGGCTCCAGAAGAGAATGGATAGCACGTATAGCCTTTCTGGGAAAGGATGCCTCTAACCTGTCCTTCTTTCCTGTTTCAGCCCAGTATCTGATAGCAGCCCGTTCACCTGGCATGATGTTCTCATTCTTGGCCTACATTCAACCTTATGCCAACCCTCTGGGGTCCCTTGTGCCATTGTACATCTGTGCCTCTGCTGGGGACCTCGCCAGAGGCAGTGCAGAATACTGTGCTGGCAACACAGGCAATGGGTTTTCCTCGCTCATTTTAAGAGAATTGTAGTAGTTCAAACTGTGATAAAAGTTATTAAAAAAAGTTAAAGTGGTTTTCATGAGATGCAAGTTGCAACTACAGAAGCGTACAAAGGATTTAAACACTGTATCAATACATAATTAAATTTTGCCTTTCCAAATGTGTTCTGCTTCCATGTTTTAGCAAGGTAATGTAAATTTTTAGGAAAGAGTCACAGAGTCATATAAAATCTGGGACTTGATAGAGGCATTTTTAAAGTTACATCTCCCCGGTGCACATGGGCATGCTTCATGAAGTGCACGATTAGAGACTACCAGGCCTTCTCTTCAAATACTTAGGTTGACCACTTAACCACAGATCAGTTTCGCTCACAATTTCTCCTATACATTGATTCAGGAAAACTGGCTAGTTCCTGAAAAGTTATTTATCTTTTCCATTTCCTTTCAATTTGTTTTTTTATTGGAAAGGACATCTAATCTCCCTGTCTGACCAACACCAAATTTTGTTTCCCTAAGATGTGTGGAGAGATGGGGCAAAGGTGAAGGGAAAAATCGATGTGGGGGAATAGGCTGGAATACCTACCAGAGGAAATGCTGGGGGGTAAAGATCCACCCCCTGACACTGGATGTGAGGTCAGGATGCTATTTAAAAATCCCGCCCTCAGGAATCTCGAAAGAGACTTCACCCCAATGGTCGGAAAGGATCCTTTCAAAGAGATAAAAATGATCATTAATCAAATGACTTGTTCCTCGGCTGATAAAAAGAAGTTGACTTTTTAAAGAAAGAATAACCAAATCTCTGCAAAGTTAACAGTGGTTTCACTTATAAAAAGCAGTTAAAAGTCTTTGCTTGCTTTTTAACCAAGTCATACAATACACAGCTTTAACCAGAGAGAGGTTGTTTTCTGCATACTTTGCAAATGGACAATTCCAGCACTTCTAGGAGGAATGGAAAAATTTGATATTTTAAAGGCAAATTACACCTATTGGATATTCATAATGCATTCCAAATGACTCTACTATAGAGACATTTTACAGTTTTGTATACAAATCAAAGAGAGATCAGTAGAGGTGAAGCTATGCCAGCAAAGCTGTGTTTTATACTAGTATTTTAAAGCCACTTGACAAACCACCTGCCAAAAGTCATGTCAGGCAAGGGGAGAAGGGGAACCAGAATTGGCAGTTATATTACTGACTTCTGGATCAGGGCAGCTATGTCAGTCAGAGCTTCTATCACATCTCACAATATGTGTCAATATATTGATGCAGGCAAAAGCCAGGAGTATAGACACGGCCCTTTTCTGCTTTGCTCACATCAGAAGTTCTACACATTTTATGCTTTCAATAGAATAAACTCTATGTTCTTCTCATTGCCTAAATGTACAGTTTTATTTCTGGAAACAGAGATCATCTCATCCACCACTTTTAAAATAAGTACTTGTGACATATCTATTATTGTGATGATAAATAAGGACTCTTTGTCATTTGATCCACTGTTTCAGCTTTCAGCATATGTACAGAGATCTAGAGGCATCATTTCAGCTAGCTCATGTTAGTGCTCAGTGAATGCCAGCATCAAAGATGGATCTGAAATGAGAGCGCTACACATCTTGCTTAAAAGCACAAGGTCAAGATTCTCCCATCTTGCAAAAAATTTAAATTGGCAACCAGAATAATCTGTGTATTTTTGCAAGTACATCAAGCAAGCATCCATCCAAAAATTTAGGTAATGGCAAGTTTGTGTTCATCATCTTGCAGGTATTTTACAGTTGTTCTTTTAAGAGATAGAAAACATCTTAATATTTATATACAATGAGAAAAATAAATGGCCTTCTGAAAATTTATGCAACAGTTTGGATTTTTTTTTAACTAATAAAAATGCAGTGAGGAAAATTTAGCCTCAAAACACACATATGTATTTGCTGAACTTAAAGTAGCCTAAGAGAGCTTTGAATTTTTCCCTTGTATTTTCAAGCAAGAGGTCTATTTTTTCTCCTCAATACATTCCTTACTTGCCCTTTAAATTTGTTATTAGACCTGCTGCAGTTTGTGGAAAAAAAATTAACTCATGTTCCGGATGCCATATTTTTATACCTGATGGTTAAAGATAAGGTATAAAAGTTTTCCTTCTGGCCACTCCAGAAAAGCCTAACTTTGGCAGTCTTGTCAAAGTGTTTCCAAACTCCATGGCTTTCATTTTAAAATATTTTCAGAAGTGATCATGGATAGACAGTCCAGAATGCAATACACAGAAATTCGATTTTAAAATGGAAAATTGTTTCATAAACTCCAAGATGTTTGGTACTAAACAGCATCTTAAAACATGAAGGCTAAATAATGAACATATGAAGACTTCCCAAATAAATCTTTGCTTCTCTGTTTCAGAATATGAATTATACCAACCATAAAGTACACCCACTGTGAGTCACATGCCATACGTACAGACCTACAGAAAAGCCAAACAACTTGAGCTTCACCATTGACATTTTCCGACATTTAAATGGTGTTACATGGCAAATAACTCAAGTTTCTTAGCAGTGTTACAAGAAGTTACTTTGTTATAAAAAGCAATGGAGACAAAACCAAACTTATTTCACTAAAGCAATGGAGACAAAAACAAACTTATTTCACTTATTGTACATATTCAGAAACAAAACCAAGGAGCAGCAAATGTTGGAGCAATATGATCTGTGAATACTAAGAAGAGAGCTTGAGTGCTAAAATTATTGAGGCTTTATGAGCAGCAAATCACTGAAGGAATACATATAAATAATGTTTTTCTCTCACTGAAAAAGGTAAGAGTCAATTGCTTAAGCATAAATGCTTTGTGTCACTTGAGACACTGTAGAAAATCTGAGACATTCACATCTGAGTGGCAGACATGACAAGATCTGCAGGAGATTTGCACTCTCTGAGAGTGACAGCAAGAGGCAAAGCAGCAATTGGGTATCTAGGAGTAAGCATTCAATGCCATTTTAGGCAACTGAATCCCATCCAAACAGTCCACTGTCACCTTAAAAATTAAGTAGATTAAGTAGAATACAGAGTTACAAGAACAAGACCTCATTTAGTCCCTTCTAGAAGTCCACAAACAGCTTCTGAAAAGGACAAGGTTGCTAACATTCAGCCCTGATCAGTATCCAGCAACATAAAAATGCAGACAAAAGACAGGTTGAAAGTTCACTCAGGGTAAAACGCACATGGTCCTAAATTAAAATACAGCATATGCCCCAGAATGAACAAATGGGTGCTTTTGGCATTATCACCTGCAAAATAGGGTTTGAGACTCTATTACATGACTATATATGTGGAAGGTGACTGTCGTTGCAGGTAGTTGGGAAAGAAAATTAATTGCCATAAGTCCCGTCAATTGCCACCAGAAGGACAGAGGTCTGGTAAGAGCTTTGGGCATTTACAGTAACCTAGAAGCTTTACTCAAATTTTTACTTGTTTGTGTAAACATTCATGACATATTTGAAAGAAAATCTGCAACAAAAAAATTGTGTTCAAGACAGAAAGGGAGAATGATCTCTGCTAACATAACAAAGAAGAAGGGAGGTGGGAGCATGCTATTAAAGAGAAAACACCAGCTCAGAAATATTTCTCAGAAATATTATAAACTTCTGTGTGGAAATCAATGAAAAGAATTGCATTTCCTTCTATCTGAACATGTTTGGGTTTTTTTTTACTTGGACAATGAAGATGATGTCTGTCTTCTTTTTCCAAATTGGAATCATGCTTAGCTAAAGAAAAAGTCCACCAAAAATGTGCCTGCTGCTTTATATCCTGCTGCTTTACACTCCAAATTAAAAAAAGCAATATTGATTTTTTAGAGGTGTATGCTAGCAATAGAAATCTTAATGCTTAATTTTAAACTACCTCTTTAAAGCAACCACACTGGACACTTGGAAGATGCTAGGATATTATTTCTTTAGCTAACCAACTTTCCTGAGAAATGCCATTCTGTCAGTACACATTACACAGAGACTAGTGCTTTACACCTGTGCTCTTGTTTTGTGTAAAAATGAGCACTCATTATTTTAACAGTGGGTGGAGTTAGACTAGTGGGAAGAGTTTTTAGTATAAGGTCTTACTGGTTCTAAACTGGGAAAAGGAGATGAATATTAAGCTATGATTCCTAAATGCACTGAAATACAGCTGTTACTTAGCAGCTTACAGGCATGGTTTTCTTTAGAAAAAACCCCAACCTCTCCCCCTTCCATAGTTATACACTATGAACATCATGTCACCTTAACATGGGGAAACTACATTAGTTACAGATATTAGTTGGAAAAGTGCATTGAAACAGTAAAACTATATGGCAATACTCTGAACAGCTGACAGTTCATGAAGTATCCACCATTTACTGAGTTCTCTGATACTAGTTCATAACTCAGCATAAATTCTTCTGTTTCACAACTATTACAGCTAAGTGCCTGCGCTCAGAGGCAGTGAGGGAGCGCCGAATCAATTAGCCTGCCTTCCTCCTTCATCTGTTGTTCCAGTGGGAATATCATCCCACAAATGGTAGAATTTGATTGGGAAACCACTGGTATAGCATCCCAAACTGGCACGGTTTTAGTGGTGTATTAACACACAGAGTAGAAGGGCAAGAGTAGATAGGTGGGTAATGGAAACACTTCCGCTTAGTTCAGCTGCAGAGCACATGCGTTAATTCACGCACGTCTATTAGCCCTTGCATCGTGACAGCATGGCCAGCCAGAAGGAACAGCCATCTCTCCCCACCGCAAAGGCACATCCCATGGCCTAGGGCCAGCAGCAACGCAACTGTGCTGAAGAGTCCTAGATCTACAAAGGAGAGAAAGTTCTGCCATGGGGATCAGCAAAAGTACTGGACTGATGACTGGACGGATGGATGAAGAGAAGGGCACCAAACGCGCCCGGTGCCATACTGGTGGAACACAACGGACTAGAGTGAAACAGATATCTTCTGTTTGAACGGGAGGTGGAGGGGCCCTTATAAGTGACAGTAAAAAGCATCTAAAAGGAACTAACTAACTTGCACTTTAAAACTGTCAAGGATTGAGCAAGCGGAGAAACGCTAGCCTGACCCATCATTTTGCTGCTGACACTTTGCAGAAACCTCCAGCAGAAGTCCCTCAGAATTTTTCACAGCAACTGAATACAGTTTTATTCTCTTGGTGACAGTACATACCCACTCACATCTGCTGACTTGAGTGCAAACATTCCCACCAGTTTTGCTCCCATATGCGCTACAGTGGCAGCACAGCACCGGCTGTCCTCAGGGGCCCGCATCCCACCCTTTCCTCTTGGCCAGATGCCGGCTTCTTTGCCCTGCTACCATCAGCAGCGCTTGAGCTGATGCCATGGCGGCCTCTAGGCCCCACAGGGCTCGCAGGGATGGGATCTGAAGCTGATAAATTGCACAGGTACAGGCAGGCAGGGCCATCAGCTTGTTCTGTTTGTGCCAGGGTCCCCAAGCCATGCTGGGAGCAAATTAAGCATTTTTTTTTTCTTTTTTTTTTTTTTTTTTTTATTATAGCAATTGTACTTGTGGGACCTTAGTGAATCTTGTGGAGATTTGCTTTTAAAAAGGAGAACATTTCTACAGGCTCTGCATTGTGTCTAAGGACCTGGCTGAAGTAGGTTAGAAAGCCTACTGAAGATGCAGACTGCTCTTCAGCCCTGTTATTTGTTGCTGTTGTTTCTTATTTATTACACTTT